CGTAGGGGCGGCGTTGGGGCCGCGTAGGGGCCGCGTAGGGGCCGCGTAGGGGCAGGGCCGCGTCAGGTACGGGGCCGCGTCAGGTACGGGGCCGCGTCAGGTACGGGGCCGCGTAGGGGCGACGCATGAGCCGCGTAGGGGCCGCGTAGGGGCCGCGTCAGGGGTCGCGTAGGGGCGCGCTAGGCGCCGGGGCCGCGTAGGGGCACGCTAGGCGACGGGGCCGTGAGGGGCGCGCTAGGCGACGGGGCCGTTAGGGGCGGCGTAGGGGCCGTGTAGGGGCCGCGTAGGGGCACGCTAGGCGACGAAGGGGCCACGTAGGGGCCGCGAAAAAATTTAGGGCAGGGCGCGAGACTCGCTTCGGGCAGCTAAAAAAAAAAAAAAAAATCTTATGGTGGGCCCTTAGTAAGGAACGGTCCCATGAGGAACCCGCTCTATACCATGTGAAGAAACAGGAATGAATTGAACTAGGAAAGTGTGAGATACAAATATGAAACCTGTACCCCTTAGTGTCTACCCCACTACAGCCTACACAGGCTAAGGCATATATATCTGACAGTGGGTTGACTCAATATGGGGTACAGACTTTTGGGGGTTGGGAAATTCGTCACCATCACTGTAGATGATGCCAAGTGGTTGGGAGAAGCCAAACCAGGTTGGCAAGTGTGGCCAAGTTGGGTGAGGTGGATGGCATGAGTTGGGAAAGTGACAAATGTCAAAGTTGGGGTGCCTATAGAGAGGGGAATTGTGTGGTATGGGGTTTCATTGGTTGGGGAATCCCTTGGGACCTTCTCTCTCGTCCTCCTCATCCCCTCTTACCTGGTTGAATTGCTACTCTAACTTTCTTGTGGAACTTGTGAGACAATTGTGATTGAGTTAAGTTTCTATGGCAGCATACCCCCTAGTACGCCGAAATTCATAACTCACGCTATACTCCATATTTTGATACTATTCAAATTGGGAAAGATAGCCACGGTCAAGGGATACAACATACTCGAGTTTGAGAACATTCTGACAGAGCGTTTTGCGTCGACGACGTTTCTTGTGACGAGATTGTTTCTGTCCAGAATTATAGTTGACGATTTTGAGATATTTCGGCCCTTAATCTTCATAGACTCTGTCCTTAGTCTCTAACATAAACCAAGGTATCATCCAGATAGACCAGAACGAACTGTCCAATCGCCTTGCAAAAGACATCATTCATGGCCCTCTGGAAAGAGGCAGGAGCATTGGTCAAGCCAAAGCTCAGCACTCGCCACTGAAAATGACCAAACGGCGATCGGAAAGCCGTTTTGGGTACATCTTCTTCAACGATGCACAACTGGTGATACCTCTGCGCGAGGTCCAATGCGTTGAACCACTGGGCACCTTGGAGTTTGTCAAACAGATCCTCAACTCTTGGTAGTGGGTATCTGTTTTTCACCATTATCTTGTTCAGAGCACGGTAGTCTACACACATGCGTAATCCTCCGCCCTTTTTGTTCACGAAAAGGATCGGCGCTCCGTAAGGTGATGCGCTTGGTTCAATCCATCCCTTCCTAAGATATTCCTCAATCTGTTCTTTAGCCTCCACGTACTTAGCTGGACTGAGGCGATACAGAGGTCTAAAATGTGCGAGTTTTACAGGCTCCACTGGGATGGTGTGACCGACAGTAAGGTCCGGAGGAAGGCCATCTGGGATGGGCTCAACTCGTCCGCCAGTGCTTTCATCTGAGGCGGGAAATCCTCGACCCCAGGCATCTCGCGTTCAGCATTCTCAAGCTGTACCACAAAGAAGGTATCGGCTTGTCGAACATGCTGTCCGAACTCGTTTGCTAGCGCGAAACTCACATCGGGACGTTCCGACGTGTGTTGCTCATTTGTGATCAAGTCCTTAGGCACTTGCCACTGGACAGTGTCACCATTCTTTGAGAATGAGACCGTATTGTCGTGGAAATCAAGCTTGACCTCATTTGCTCGAAGCCAATCCATTCCAAGAACAAGGTCGACGCCTGCAAGAAGGGGTAACACATATGCGCAAATTTCTTCGCGATATCCCTCAATCTCCATGTTGATCCATGTCCGCCCTTTGCTCGGGATGATGCTATCATCACCAAGGCGAATGTGGCAAGACGGTCCTTCAACGAACTACTGGAGGAAGCAAAATTGGCCCAGTTACCCAACTTCTCTCTCTCTTGCGACAACCAATCGGCCATTCGCATAGCGAACAAAAACGGGTTCGCGAATCGAATGAAGCACATCGCCCTTCGGTACTTCTTTGTAAAAGACGAAATCGAAAAGGGAAGACTCGAGCTATCCTACTGCCCCACATCCGAGATGGCAGCTGATTACTTGACCAAGAAACTCGGAAAACAGAAGTTCGAGTACTGCATGCTGCTGACTGGACAAGGACACGTCATCAGCAGCGACACTCCAGAAGCGAAGGGGAGTGTTGGAAACAAGTAATTTAAACGCTTCTGTTGTATCGAAGCTTCGACACGAAACGGAGCTGACTACAACGAAGAAACACTCGAGTCAACCAAAGCAACCGTCGGAGGTTACGCGAAGGTCAAAGGTCTCCGACCTTTGACTTGACGAAACGTACAGTGCGACAGCAAGGATACATAACTGACTCGTTACTGAGCAGTTACCCGAGTCGGCACTGTATCGAACCACAACAGCAAAAACAGTTAAAGTAGAACTTTCCATATTCCTTTGTAATCATATAAAAGGCTTGTATCTCTTTGCTATTATTAACTTATCTTGTTCTCACACACAAGTACAAGGTGGTTCAAGCAACCTTTATTAAACGCTTCCGCAAATACAACATCTCTACATCAACACCTGATCTTAGCCTTGAAAGATCCTAAGGGCTTTTTTCAGCCCAACATGGTATCAGAGCAGGCAGGGCAATATCACTTTCTCAATTTTTTACAACGCAAGACATGGCTACACAAAAGGAGAGGAGCTCCTCCAACGGATCTCTCGGCACTACCCCTACTCCACCTCCAGCCTCTGGCCTACAGACAGAAGTAGGCAGAGCAACAAGACCAGCTGCAGAGTCAACGGAAACTCCCGGGAATCAACAAGCAGGCTTCGACCCAAACATGATGGAGAAGTTTTTCTCATTCATGTCCTTCTACGAGCAACACCAGCAAGCAGCTCCTGCGCAATCAAACAACAGCGACAACAACAACAGAGCAACTCCGATGAGCCTCGACGGTTCATCCTATGCGCGTCGAAATCAACAACAACCTACCTTTGCCCCGTATGAGCCTCAACGCGGCTCCGTCAGTTTCGCGCCACAGCCGCAGTCTTCACCTGGACAAGAGAAGACACTGGACGCACTTCAGGTGCAATCGCAATTCGCACGCGTTCTAAAATTGCAAACATCAACACTCTTCGACGGGAAAGATTTTTATACCTGGTCATTCGAATTTGAGCTGATGATGGAGGGCGCGCAAATCCTCAGATTCTTCGACGGGCCCTGCCATATCTAGCACACAAGACACAGTACGACAAGCAGCAATATACGTATCAGTCGCTGATGGCGTATACGATACTTCTTCGAAACTTAACGCCAAACGAGCAACAGAACATCCGGTCTTATCGAGGATACGGCAACTCCGCCGAGCTGGCGTACGACCATCTGAAGAACGTGTATCAAGCAACAGACAGTGTCAAACATTATCATATATGTTATTGATGTGTAGGCTATAGTGGGTTAGCCTTTAGGGGGTACACAACTCTAGGGTTTCATATTTGTACTCTCATCTTTCATAGTTCAATCACTTCTTCATTCTGACATGGTATTACGAGCTTAGGTCCTAGTCCTAGGACCACTTACCTAAGGGCCCACCACACGAAGCGCCCTCGAGCGCCCTTCTCCTAGAGCGCCCTCGAGCGCCCGTCTCCTAGAGCGCCCTCGTGCGCCCCCTCTCTTCCTCCTGCTGCCCGTGCGCAGCTCGCTAGTGCCGCGCGCGGCCCTTTTTTTTTTTTAGCGCGCGACTCACTAGCCGCCCGTGCGCCGACCCCTAGCCGCCCGTGCGCCTACCCCTAGCCGGCCACGCGACCTGCGCCGCCCGTGAGCAGCCCCCCTAGCCGCCCGTCGACCCTTGCCCCGGACGACGCAGCCGCCCATAGGCCGCCGCGACGCCCCGGCCCGTTTTAGGTCGTCACCCGCGCTAGACAAGCCCACGCACGAAAACGGCCCCCCCCACCACTGCTGCCCACGCGCGCGCCCCCCCCCCCCCCGCTGAGCACAGTCGCGTAGCCCAGCCCGAGCCGAGCCGCGCCGCCCGAACTGAGCCGCGCCGCCCGAACCGAGCCGCGCCGCCCAAACCGAGCCGCACCGCCCGAGCCGAGCCGCGCCGCCCGGACCGAACCGCGCCGCCCTGACCGAGCCGCGCCACCCTACTGTGCCCCACGGTAGTTCCTCCTGTTCCTATTCCTACTGTACTACTGCTACTGTTCCTGCTGCTACTGCTGCCATTATGGCCACTCCCTCTGTTCTCACCTTTGACGCTGAGGGCCGCCCGATTAAGTTTGAGGTCTGGCTAGATGACCTCCACCTGTTCCTTCATATCACTGCCAAGGATGATGTGTCCCTCTATGATCACACATCCGGCGCTGCTCCTGCACCTCCTGCTACTGCTGACATCACTGCCCGCTCCCAGTGGCAGACCCGTGATGCTCACGCTCGCCTAGCCGTTCGCAGCCACCTACCGCTAGATGAGCGCGAGCACTTCGGCCAGCATAAGACAGCTCAGGAGCTGTACGACGCAGTAGTCGCACGCTACTCCTCTCCTGCCACTGCTGCTATAGGCCGTCTCTCACTGCCCTATCTCTTCCCCGACCTGTCCGCGTTTGCCACTGTAGTTGACCTCATCACCCACCTCCGTACCAGTGACCTCCGCTACCGTGCCGCTCTCCCCCCCGATTTCCTCGCCAAGAACCCCCCCCCTGATGTACCTCACACTGTACCACCTTGTCACCCGCCTCCCTGACTCCCTTCGCTCTGTCAGGGACCAGTTCCTTGCCCTCTCCCCCACTGACCTCACTGTTGACCTCCTCGAGAAGGACCTCCTAGCAGCTGAGAAAAGCATTGTAGCTGTAGGTGCCTCTCGTGGCGACCCCCGCACCCCCTTCTTTGAGGGGTGCTCCCCCTCCCCCCTCCTCCCCTCCATTGCATCTGCTGCTGCTGTCGGCTACCTCGGAGCTGAGGGAGTCGGGGCTGCGTCTGCTCCCAGTGGGAGACGCAAGGGCGGCAGGGGCAAGGGGGGCAGGGGTGGTGGAGGTGGACGAGGGGGCGGCGGCAGTGGAGGGGGTGGGGTGGGCGGGGGTGGTGGCGGGGGTGGGAGTGGCGCAGGTGGTGGGGGGGGCAGTGGCGGCACAGGGGGTGGTGGCGGTGGCGGTGGTGGGGGTGGTGGGGGCGGTGGGGGCGGTGGAGGCAGTGGTGGCGGTGGTGGAGCGGTGCAGCGTGGGGGGTTCGGCGGCGGCCAGAGGCAGCAGCAGCAGACTCCCTCGCCCCAGCAACTCCGTGAGTGGTACTCTCAGCGTGGGGGGTCTGGGGGGGGAGGTACCTGCCCGTACGTCATCCGCACAGGTGACCGCACTGGCCAGACCTGTGGGAGGTTCCACACGGAGCAGCGCTGCTTCTTTCGTCTTGACGACGCCTGGCGTGCGCAGTTTCCTGACGCCACTGAGCTGCCCCGCTGGGCTGACCTGCTTAGGAAGAACATTGATATCTTTGCTCTTGACTTTGATGCTATCCTTGGTGCCATGTATGCATTGACTATTAGTGTTGAGGGTGACTGTTACCTGAGTGTACCGCCAGACCCTGGCATTGGGACCAGTGAGACAGCTCCTCCAGGTGCTAGTGCGTCTGCTCCCCTAGGTCCTGGTGAGGCTACTGCTCTTGGTGCCAGTGCGTCTGCTGCCCTAGGTCCTGGTGAGGCTGCTGCTCTTGGTGCTAGTGCGTCTGCTCCCCCAGGTGCTAGTACGTCTGCGCTTGCTGGTACTGCGTCCACTGAGGCACTGCACACCTTCACACTCGACTCGGGTGCTTCCCGCTGCTTCTTCCGTGACCGCACTGCCCTTGAGCAGCTAGCTCGGCCGGTTGCTGTCTCTCTCGCTGACCCCTCTGGGGGCCCGGTCATTGCGACCTCCTCCACTGTCCTCCCTTGTCCTGCGGTCCCGTCCGGCACCCTGTCGGGCCTTTACCTCCCCTCGTTCTCTACGAACTTGGTGGCGGGCTCTGCTCTTCAGGATGGGGGTGTTCACCAGTTCACCCCTGCCTATGAGCGTGTGACCCACTGTACGTGTGCTAGGACAGGTCGCCACCTAGCTACCTTCACTCGGCAGCCGGGGTCGGACCTGTACACACTGACCACTGAGTCCCCTCAGGTAGCTGCGTCAGCGTCTGCGTCAGGTCAGCTGTCGGCCCCCTGCTCGTGTCGCTCCCTGTCACACCAGACCGTTCTCTGGCACCACCGTCTTGGTCACCCGTCAGTGCAGCGCCTTCGTGGCATGCACTCCCGGTACCTTGTCTCTGGTCTTCCCAGGGTTCTCCCTCCCCTCCCACCCTCGCCTGCTCCTCCCTGTCTTCCCTGCGTCGAGGGGCGGCAGCGCGCCGCTCCTCACTCCTCCTCGTTCCCTCCCACAGAGGCTCCTCTGCAGACTCTCCACCTGGACGTGTGGGGCCCAGCCCGCGTCCGTGGACAGGGCCACGAGCGGTACTTCCTGCTGGTTGTCGACGACTACACGCGCTACACCACGGTCTTCCCCTTGCGCACCAAGGGTGAGGTCCCTGATGTTTTGATCCCCTGGATCCGCGCTGCTCGTCTCCAGCTCCGCGACCGGTTCCAGTCGGACTTTCCCGTCCTGCGTCTGCACTCTGACCGAGGTGGTGAGTTCTCCTCTGACCTCCTGGCAGCCTACTGTGCGGAGCACGGCATCCGCCAGACTTTCACGCTTCCGGCCTCTCCTCAGCAGAATGGGGTTGCTGAGCGCCGCATTGGCTTGGTCATGGAGATCGCTCGTACCTCCTTGATCCATGCGGCTGCCCCCCATTTTCTGTGGCCGTTTGCGGTCCAGTACGCTGCGCATCAGCTCAACCTCTGGCCCCGTGTCTCCGCTCCGGAGACCTCGCCCACACTGCTGTGGACGGGGCAGGTTGGCGATGCGTCGCGTTTCCGTGTCTGGGGTGCTCGTTCCTTTGTCCGTGATACCACTGCGGACAAGCTCTCCGCCCGCGCTGTGCCTTGTGTCTTCCTTGGCTTTGTCCCCGACGCACCTGGTTGGCGGTTTTACCACCCCACCTCGCGCCGTGTCTTTGCGTCTCAGGACGTCACCTTTGACGAGTCGGTACCCTTCTACCGTCTGTTCCCCTACCGTACTGCTCCTCTCCCCCCCCCGCCTCTCTTCCTCACCCCAGGTGCCCCTCCGGTAGACCCCCTCCCTCCCCAGGGTCCTGCTCCCTCCGGTGTTTCCCTGGTAGACGCAGTCGAGCCTGTCGAGGTAGCTGTTGACTCTGGTCCTGAGCGGGGTACTGAGCCTGGGGGCACTGAGACTGGGGGTGCTGAGCCTGGGGGCACTGAGACTGGGGGTGCTGAGCCTGGGGGTGCTGCGACTGGGGGTGCTGAGCCTGGGGGTGCTGCGACTGGGGGTGCTGAGCCTGGGGGTGCTGTGACTGGGGGTGCTGCGCCTTGGGGTGCTGCGACTTGGGGTGCTGAGCCTCGGGGTGCTGAGCCTGGGGGTGGTGACCCTGCTGGTGCTCCCTCTCCACAGCGACTACGTGAGTGGTACGCTCGGCGCTGCGGCCTCCGGAGTGGAGCCCCTCGTTTTGAGTTACCCCCTGCTGGAGGTACTGGAGCTACTGGAGGTGCTTCTGGTGCTGCTGGTGCTACTGGAGGTTCTGGAGCTGCGGGCGGTGCTGCCGGTGCTGCTGGAGGTACTGGGGCTGCTGGAGGTGCTGCTGGTGCTGCTGGAGGTACTGGTGCTGCTGGCGGTGCTGCTGGTGCTGGTGGAGGTACTGGAGCTGCTGGAGGTGCTGCTGGGGGTACTGGAGCTGCTGTAGCTCCTAGTGGTGCTCCTAGTCCTGGGACTGGTGGTGCTGCTGTCGCTGGTACTACTGGAGGTCCTGGGGTTGGCACTCCTGGAGGTGCTACTGGTGCTGCGGGAGCTGGAGCTACTGCTGGAGGTTCTGGTGCTGTCTCTGCTGGTTCTGGGGGAGCGTCACGGCCGCGGCCGTACTTCGTTCCGCTTCTTCGGCAGGTTCTTGGTCAGCCGCCTCCTCCTTGTCCTGCTCCCTCCTTAGGGTGTCCTTCGCCTGTCCGACCACAGTCGCAGTTCCAGCCCACCTCACCTCTTCCTGGTCCTTCTCCCTACACTGGTCCGACAGGAGGTCTTACAGAGCGTCGTGAGCCTGAGTCTCGTCCTGTGTCACCTGAGTCTCGTTCTGCGTCACCTGTTCGTGCTGCTCGCCCTAGTCGTCGTGTCCCGCGTCAGCGTCCTCCTGCTGTCCCCGGCACTCACCCGATGCTACTTCGACTTTCCACTGCTCCACGGCGTGTCCCTCTTCCTTCTCCTCCTGCGTCCTCCCTTCCTGCCCCTGCTGACCCAGAGTCTGACTCTCTTCGTGCTGCTAGTCCTACTGTCGCGCGTCTCCTGTCCACAGTTGTCACTGACCCTTCCTTTGAGTCAGCTGCTGCGTCTGCCTTAGTCACTGAGCTTGTTGACTTTGCTGCTCACTGTAAACTAGACTACGCTGCCGGTCTTGTTGCTGAGTCTGAGTCTGTCTGTCCTCCGTCCGTCGGGGGTGAGTGTGCTCTTGGCACGGACGTTCTTGAGGACAGGCAGGAGGAGTTTGAGTGCTTTGCCGCCGCTGTACCTCATCTCGTGTCCATGCTGATTGCACCTGAGGGAGACCCGGATGCTCCAGACATCCCGACCCCGCGCTCTTACGCTGAGGCGATCGCGGGTGAGTACTCCTCTCAGTGGCAGTCAGCCATGGATGCAGAGATGGCATCCTGGAAGTCCACAGGCACTTACGTCGACGAGGTTCCCCCTCCTGGGGCGAACATCGTCAGTGGCATGTGGATTTTCAGGGTGAAGCGGCCGCCAGGTTCTCCGCCTGTCTTCAAGGCTCGGTACGTCGCTCGAGGCTTCAGTCAGCGAGAGGGAGTAGACTTCTTTCAGACCTTCTCCCCCACCCCGAAGATGACCACTCTTCGGGTGCTGCTGCACGTTGCCGCTCAGCGTGACTACGAGCTTCACTCTCTTGACTTCAGCACAGCTTTCTTGCAGGGCAGTCTGCACGAGGAGATCTGGCTGCGCCGTCCACCTGGCTTCACTGGGTCGTTTCCTCCTGGTACCCAGTGGAGCCTCCGGCGGCCGGTCTACGGTCTCCGCCAGGCTCCACGTGAGTGGCACGACACACTGAGGACTACACTTGCGGCTCTTGGGTTCTCGTCTTCTACTGCTGACCCGTCTCTGTTCCTGCGCACCGACACTTCACTGCCGCCGTTCTACATCCTCGTGTACGTCGACGACTTGGTCTTTGCCACTGCTGACACTGAGGCTCTCGCCCACGTGAAGTCGGAGCTGCAGAAGAGACACACGTGCACAGACCTGGGTGAACTGACAAGCTATCTTGGCTTGCGGATCACCCGGGACAGAGCACGCCGCACCATCACACTGACTCAGTCACACATGGTGCAGCAGGTTCTTCAGCGCTTCGGCTTCACCTGGTCCTCAGCACAGGCCACTCCTCTGGCTATAGGTCACTCGCTCTCAGCTCTGCCTTCGGATGAGTCCGTAGAGCCTAGTGGTCCTTACCCAGAGCTAGTTGGTTGCCTCATGTACCTGATGACTTGCACTCGTCCTGACCTAGCATACCCTCTTGGCCTTCTGGCCCGCTACGTGGCTCCTGGCAGGCACCGAAAGGTGCACTGGGATGCTGCAAAGAGGGTATTGCGCTACTTGTGCAGTACATCGGGCATGGGGCTCGTGCTTGGAGGGAGGCGCTCAGTTGTTCTCACTGGGCACCCAGACGCTTCTTGGGTTGACGACCAGGCTACTCAGCGGTCGTCACAGGGTTACACCTTCAGCCTTGGCTCTGGTTCAGTTTCTTGGCGTTCTACTCGCTCGTCTTCAGTTCTCAGCTCCAGCTGTGAGGCTAAGATCTACGCCACAGCCATGGCTGCACAGGAGTTACGCTGGCTGACCTACCTTCTGACTGACCTGGGAGAGCGGCCTAGTTCTCCTCCAGTGCTGTGCGTCGACAACAAGGCTGCCATTGCCTTGTGTCAGGAGCACAGACTGGAGCACAGAACGAAGCACATCGCTCTCCGTTACTTCCTGGCTCGAGAGCTGCAGCAGCGTGGTCAGCTTTGTCTGCGTTACGTGGCCACTCGGGCCAACACTGCTGATATATTCACCAAGGCACTTCAGCCTGGTGATCATCAGCGCTTCTGTACTGTCCTGGGGCTTGTGCCCACTGTTCCTCACTTACTGTAGGCTTTGTCTGTACTGTGATCTCTATATATATATATATACCTGCTTGTTTGTTTTGTTAGGTTGAGATCACCTTGCTGTTTGTGTTGTCTATATATGCCTCTGCATTTGAACTGGCCCTGTGGCCCTTTGCTTGTGCTCAGACTGTGTGGTGACGTTGTGATCCACCCTGAGCTTGCTTTGCCTTTCTTGACTGGTCTTGTGACCCCTTGCTCTCCCCCACTTTGCCTATGGGGGTGTGTCAAACATTATCATATATGTTATTGATGTGTAGGCTATAGTGGGTTAGCCTTTAGGGGGTACACAACTCTAGGGTTTCATATTTGTACTCTCATCTTTCATAGTTCAATAACTTCTTCATTCTGACAGACAGCATTAACCAGAGTCGTCTCATGGCACAGTTGACAACAGTGGAAATGAAAACCGGCGAAAAGGGAATGGCTTATATTAGCCGTTGTCGCGGACTGCGCGACAGACTCCTTCGATGCGGAGGATCAATATCCGAAGAAGCTTTTGTAACAGTCATCATCGCCGGTCTTGGTCCTCATTGGCGCTCCACTCGAGCACTCCTTCAAGCTCACGGGAAGATCTCCGAAGCAGCACTCTGCGCCGAAATTCACGCTGAACGGCAGGATATGGACATGCACGAAGAACGACACAACAAGAAAGCGTTAGCACCGGAATTCGCCTTTCATACTCAACGACGCTACAACAACAACAACAACCGACACAACAACCGACAAGTACAACAGTACGTCCCACCGTTTTTTCATCTTTGCAAGACGTCCGGTCATCCACGCACACATTGCCCGAATCAGCAGCAGTCGTCAACACCGCAACGTCAACTTCGGCCTTCAAGCAGTCAAGTAGATTCTACGCAGGCGCATCCCACCAGTCAAGTGCAGCCTTCAACATCGCAATCTGCAAAAGGAACAAGAAACATCGTAAGCTGCATGACAAGAACGACAGAGTCCTGCATCACCGGATCACCACCCCACTACTCTCCAGAATACCAGCTCGATGAAAGGACTCCTCGCCGCGAATCACTGGAGCCCAATCCGACGTATGCAGCTATCGCCCAAAGCGAGCCGTCCGGGCAAGACACTTGGTTCTTGGACAATTGCTGCGGACAACATATGTGCTCCTCAAGTCGTTTCGTTCAACAAGAACATCAACTTCAGCGCGAAGTCGTCATCACCGTGGCCAACAACCAGAACCTGCACACACGACGACAAGGAGTAGTACAACTTCAGTCTCGAGAAACTAACGTCATCTTACAAATGTCTAAAGTTTTGATTGCAGAAGGACTCGGCTACAACTTACTGAGCGTCAGCCAACTAATGGCGAAGGGTATTCATCTTGAAGTAGACAGCACCACTCAGGAGTTCAAGTTATTCCATGGTAAAGGAGGACTCTACATCGGCAGAACAATGTCTTCGTTCTTGATTTTGTACCAGATCAAGGAACCGCCGACAGCGACGCCATCGTCAACTTCGTTTCTTGGACACATCCTCCGGACCTCGATCCTGACTTCAGCCCTGGAGGATTCTGGTATTCACATACCATACCTGAAGCAGAAAGAACACGGGCATTAGCAACAATCCGGCAAGAAGAAACAACATCGACAGCAGCAGAGACAACACCGGCAGCAACAGCAACACTTACAGCACCAATCGCGAGCTCTTCAACGGCACCAACCTTCATCGACGACACCCCACCGACTCCTGCGCAGCAGTTAGCTCCCACTCCACGTGAAGTTCACAGAAGCGCAAACTTCACCGCGGGTTTATACTCCAACTCCGATCTGTACAGGCGCTCACCCGGACATCGAGCGAGCGAATCTATGTGGCACGAACGACTGGGTCATCCAAGCAACACCACGTTAAACAATACAATCAAGGCAGCAGTGCTCGACAAAGATTCACTTCTTTTACCCGACGGCAGAGAACTCCAACGAGTCCGCGGAACATGCTTTACCTGTCCCGAAGCCAACTTACCACATCAACCGTTCATCTCTCACCACAATCCAAGCTCGCCAGCCTATGCACCACTCGAGAAAGTATACAGCGACATTCTGTATACTCGCGAACAAGGACAAGGAGCATATAATTACGTGATTACTTTCATCAACGCCGCCACCCGTTACGTCTGGCATCTTAATCTCCCAAGTCGCAACATGGCCTTCGAAGCCTTCGTCGCCTGGCTACCTGTGGCAGAACGAGAATCAAGAGCAAAGCTGAAAAGCTTCCAGTCTGACGGAGGAGGGGAATATCAGTCCCAGAGGTTCAGGCAGTACCTCACAGAACGAGGCATCAAGCGACTCATCTCGCTTCCCTATGCCCATCAACAGCAAGGCGTGGCAGAACGGATGAACAGAACTCTCCAGAACACCATGCGCAAATTGTTGCGTGGCATGCGACTGCCCAATCACCAGTGGCCTGAGGCAATGGACCACGCTGTCATGCTGCACAACTTGCTCTCGTCGTCGTCACTTCCGAACAACGCATCACCGCACCTGCTGTGGACAGGAAAGTTGGGCAACACAAAAATGTTACGAGTTTTCGGGTGCATGGTACAGTACCGCCCGCACACTGCAAGAGCCGGAAGATTTTCTCAACGCGCACAGTGGGGACTACACCTGGGCATCGAAAGGCATTACAACGCATGGAAGATTTTCGACGTCCACTCGAAGGAAACAGTAGCAGCACGTGATGTCATCTTCTACGAGCGACTCACACTTCAAACCTACCTGGACAACCTGGCAACAAATCGGGACCTCACGGGCGGCTTCCGTGGCAACCGAGCCTTCGCTTCAGCAGCAGACGAAGCTGACTGGGACGAGCAAAATGTGGACAACGCATCCGAAGAAGCAGGACCACTCCCATACTGCTCCGTGCCCATCCCAATGGATGACGAAAATCCTCGCGAAAGTGTCAACGTCGAAACTTACTTCGACTTCGCTGACACCGGTTACGTTACACCTCAACCGGTCGACACCAACATCTCTGAACGCATAGGACCAAATTTCTTACCAGACCCTGAAGCAGGAGATGAAGCAGCTTATCCAGAGGACACAAATCTCCCCCGCTACACACAGAGTGGCCTGCAGATACTGGGACTCGTCATCGCCGTCCACGGAGCAGAACCACCTAAAGAGCCTGCGACAATTCAGCAGGCTTTGGGGGGGGAACACAGGGAAAAATGGCGTGAAGCCATGGACAGAGAGTTGAAGGCGCTGCAAGAACGCAACACCTGGAAAGTCGTGCATATCGAAGTGGCACGCAACAAGACCATCCTCACGGGAAAATGGGTTTTCCGCGTGAAAACAAAAGCTGACGGAACAATCGACAAGTTCAAAGCACGCTGGGTCGTGCGTGGCTTCGACCAAGAGCAAGGGCGAGACTTCACGGAAACATTCGCCCCAGTAAGCCGACATACCTCACTGCGGATTCTCCTCGCGATAGCCGCCATGAACCGGAAGAAGCTTCGGCAAATCGATGACGCCAATGCCTTCCTCTACGCCCCTGTCGACGCTGAGATTTTCGTCGAACTCCCGCATGGGTCCAACGCAGGCCCAAACCAAATCTGTCAACTGGAGAAGTCGTTGTACGGGATCAAGCAAGCCCCGAGACTATGGCAGCAACACCTTCACGCCCGCCTAATCCGCATCGGATTTGTTCAACTACCGCACGACCAAAGGATGTATCGACTGATGAAGGGCACCGACTACATTCTACTCATCGTCTACGTCGATGACCTCCTCTACATAGGCTCCACCGACACCACAACGACATGGTTTGAAGGGGAGCTACAGCGGGATCTCACTCTCACCGTCGCAACTACCGTGACACAGTACCTAGGACTGAACATCCAAGACGACGACAATGCAATCTACCTCAGCGCTGCAAAGTACATGGACACTATTGCTAAACGCTTCGGACTCACTCCAACCGCCATCTCCACGCCATACCGCTACACCAACGGAAACCGAAAAGCCTCTGCTCTACTCTTCGCAGCCGTCACCTGCCGACCGGATCTATCCTACTCAGCTAGCCAACTCGCCACCTACCTCAAGAAGCCTGAAGCAGAGCACATGCTCGAACGCGACCAAGCACTTCACTATCTCGTCAGCACTCCGACGATCGGACTAACCTACCACAAGACCAGCACCGCAACACCTAAGCTAATCGGTTACGTCGACGCCGATCACGCTGGAGACTCCGACAACAGACGATCTCGAACTGGCCACGTCTACAGACTCGAACCTATCGGACCTATCTCATGGCAGTCGAACAAGCAAGAGCTAATCGCTCTCTCCTCAGCAGAAGCAGAATATATCGCACTCTGCTCAGCCACCAAGGAAGAGCTATACCTTCGCGAACTACTAGAGGAAGCAAAATTGGCCCAGTTACCCAACTTCTCTCTCTTTTGCGACAACCAATCGGCCATTCGCATAGCGAACAAAAACGGGTTCGCGAATCGAATGAAGCACATCGCCCTTCGGTACTTCTTTGTAAAAGACGAAATCGAAAAGGGAAGACTCGAGCTATCCTACTGCCCCACATCCGAGATGGCAGCTGATTACTTGACCAAGAAACTCGGAAAACAGAAGTTCGAGTACTGCATGCTGCTGACTGGACAAGGACACGTCATCAGCAGCGACACTCCAGAAGCGAAGGGGAGTGTTGGAAACAAGTAATTTAAACGCTTCTGTTGTATCGAAGCTTCGACACGAAACGGAGCTGACTACAACGAAGAAACACTCGAGTCAACCAAAGCAACCGTCGGAGGTTACGCGAAGGTCAAAGGTCTCCGACCTTTGACTTGACGAAACGTACAGTGCGACAGCAAGGACACATAACTGACTCGTTACTGAGCAGTTACCCGAGTCGGCACTGTATCGAACCACTACAGCAAAAACAGTTAAAGTAGAACTTTCCATATTCCTTTGTAATCATATAAAAGGCTTGTATCTCTTTGCTATTATTAACTTATCTTGTTCTCACACACAAGTACAAGGTGGTTCAAGCAACCTTTATTAAACGCTTCCGCAAATACAACATCTCTACATCAACACCTGATCTTAGCCTTGAAAGATCCTAAGGGCTTTTCTCAGCCCAACACTTTCTGCCCCTCCATTCTCATTTCAGCCTGACCTGACACAAGCTTGGCTTCATTCACAATACATGAGCGTCATGCACTATTCATTATCCCTCACCCTCATCCCACTAGCATCGCTCAACGCAGCTATCACGTGCCGTGTTGTGGGGAGCGTGTCCCGCACACTAGGCAGGTGGAATGGCGCTCGCTGTGTTCTCTCAAATAGCCATGGAGTCAAAATATGTTTAAACTCATCGAAGCTAGTGGCTAGTAGCCCTTCCCAATCCACCTGTTGTGGTCCGGTCAGGGGTGGAGTGGGGTGGAGTGGGGTGAAGTGGGATACGGTACGATGAATCAGCCAGGTGTTCACATGCAGAAGGGGAGAGGTGAGCAATGAAGGCTGTACCAGCAGCATTAAGAAGCGAGAAGAAGGGAGGAGGTGCAGAAATGACATCTGAATCAAACAGCGGGAATAGGAAGCTAGGAGCAGTATGAATGAGGCGGTACGAGCATCACCAAACGGGACTCACCAGGCGGTCCCGAGGGACATGCGCAGTGGTTTCCAGCTCAGCAAGCATGGAGAGGGCTTGATGGAGATGGGATGAAGGAACATGCGATGTGGTTTCCAGGTCAGCAAGCATGGAGAGGGCTTGATGGAGATGGGATGAAGGAACATGCGATGTGGTTTCCAGGTCAGCAAGCATGGAGAGGGCTTGATGGAGATGGGATGAAGGAACATGCGATGTGGTTTCCAGGTCAGCAACCATGGAGAGGGCTTGATGGAGATGGGATGAAGGAACATGCGATGTGGTTTCCAGGTCAGCAAGCATGTAGAGGGCTTGATGGAGATGGGATGAAGGAACATGCGATGTGGTTTCCAGGTCAGCAAGCATGGAGAGGGCTTGATGGAGATGGGATGAAGGAACATGCGATGTGGTTTCCATGTCAGCAACCATGGAGAGGGCTTGATGGAGATGGGATGAAGGAACATGCGATGTGGTTTCCATGTCAGCAACCATGGAGAGGGCTTGATGGAGATGGGATGAAGGAACATGCGATGTGGTTTCCATGTCAGCAACCATGGAGAGGGCTTGATGGAGATGGGATGAAGGAACATGGTGGCACCAGCGGCACCAGACACTGATGAGACTGCACTCACCAGGATATCTCGAGGAACATGTGATGTGGTTTCCATGTCAGCAGCCATTGAGAGGCTGATAATGGACATGAGCCCCACCATGGCTGACCCCCGGGACAGAGGCATGAGCTGGAACCTGTGGGGCAAAGAGAGGGGTGTGTACCAACGGGTAGAGCATTCAGGATGCATGGGAATGGGGACGAGAAATTGGTGAGAAGTGTGAGCAGGCAGAGTGGGGTGCAGTGGAGGCGAGAGGAGTGGATAACAAGGACGGCGAGACAGGTTTGGGTGTGGGTTGCAAGGGGATGTGGGTAGTAGCAAGGGTTGTTTTGGGAGGAGCAATGAGAGCGCAGCAGCAGGTGAAATGTGGGGCGGCCCCACCAATAGTAAGCAGCGGTGAGGATCTGATCTGGGATGCGCTGGCGAAACGCATGCAGGTGGACGGCAGGCGGACCCACCAATAGTAAGTGATGGTGAGGATCCGATCTTATCTGCGCAAATAATATCCATACAGCAGGTGGTAGGAATGACCCACCAGTAGTAAGCAATGGCAATGATCTGATCCTGGATGTGCTGGCGGTACACATGCGGCGACGTGGCCTTGGTGCGGTGGTCCAGTGCGGCCTCCATGAATCCCTGCCACGCTGCTGTGAGCTCCGAGTCAAATGCGTTCCACCGCGTTGCGTCCACTGTGGTGAACGTGTCAAAGTCCACTGCCAACGGGCTGCAGGGAGGGGCGAGTGGTGATAAGAGAGGGTGTGAAGAGAGAAGAGAGAGGGAGAGAAGAGAGAGCGGAAAGACGTGGTCCAGTGCGGCCTCCATGAAGCTGTGAGCTCCGAGTCAAACGCATTCCACCGCACCGAGTCCACTGTGGTGAACGTGTCAAAGTCCACTGCCAACGGGCTGGGATGGAGTGGGGGGTGGAAAGGAAAGATGATGGAGTGGCGATGATGTGATTGGTAGAGGAGAAAGGGAATGGGTAAGGAGAAGAGGGCAAAGGGCTGGATTCGAGTATACAGATGTATGCATCTGTGCTTGTGTGTTGTGTACACGTGCATGTGTGCATGGTGTGTGGAGGAACCACATGACTCACCGTTTTCGTAATCTGAACTCTGTGCCGCCCATATCTTTCCTGCACAGGAGGGTGGGCGGGGAGGGGCAATCAATGACAATGAGGATCGAGAGCCAGAACAGGTGCATGCAGCAGACAGAGGAGGTAAGGGGAGGTAAGAGGAAGGGTGCACATGAGAGCATGAAAGCATCTTGAGCGTGGTGTGGCGTGCTGTAGCACGGCAGGCGCACTAACCCTGGGAATGCCCGGCTGTAGCAAGGCAGGCGCACGTAGAAGTCCCGACCAATCACGTTGAAGAGCCCCTCATGATCCTCCGCTGCCTCCAGCTGTTGGAATGTTCAGAGAATGTACAGGGAATGTTCAGGGAGCATTGGTAATAGCACCTTAGTCCGAAGGTCAAAGAAATGACACTGAACGGCCCACCATGACCCTCATGGGGGCATGGGGGCATGGGGGGCATGGGGGGCATGGGGGGCATGGGGCTATGGGGGGCATGGCAGGCGTTTGAGAGGGTGGTGCGGTTGAGTTGAGGGCACACCTGGGCGCCGAAGGTGGAGCGAGGCACGTCAAAGGGCTGGTGGGTGTCGGCATCAAACGCCCTCTCTGCCTGCAACAGGCCGCGCCTCGTGATGTTCACTGCCCTGTGATGGGGACGAGGAAGGGAAGGGAGAGCAGGATGGGGGCACGGGAGGGTAAGGGTGACTTGTGAGTGGAATCAGAGTCACCTTGGCTTGAAACGCCATCTGTGACTGCAGCAGGCCCTGGCGCGCGATGTTCATCACCCTGTGATGGAAGGGAGGAAGCGAAGGGAGGGAAGGAAGGAGGCACGGGAGGGTGAGGGTGGCTTTTGAGTCGACTTAAAGTCACCTCGGCATCAAGCGCCCTCTGTGAGACTGCAATAGGCCCTGCCATGCCATGTGATATCCACTGCCCTGTGCAGGAAGGGGAGGGAGGAAAGAAAGGGAGCAGTGGGGCAAGGAAAAGTGGCGCTGCTGTTGAAGAACCTGCTGGGGGGAAGCTCTTAGTTGGGGCGACACAGTAGAAGGCAAGGGAGTGGAAATGGGTGGGGAGGGTACTCACTTGGGGTCAACAGTGAGGCACTGTGCAGTTGACTCAGGGCAAGACGGCAAGGTAACTCGGGGCAACGCGGCAACGCAACTCACTTGGGATAGACGGCGAGGTAGCGAGCGGTGCCCATGACCCATGTGAAAATAGGCGTGTCGGTGCGATAGAGCATGTCGGCAGGCCAGCGCTGCCCCTTGGCAAAAGCCTTCCATGCAATGGGCTCCATGGCGTCTGACACCTGCCTCCACGCCACCAGCACTCGAAACACATGCCGCCAGCTCGTCATCAGGTCAGATCGGTCCAACGGACTCCGCCCACCCCCGCTGCTGCTTTGTCGGCTGCGGCCCGTGCGTTGCCCGCCTTGTCTCTCCTGAAGCGCCTGCTCCAGCTGCTGCTGCCACTGCTCATCAGGCCCATCCGGGCCGTCGGTGCCAAAGAGAAGAGGGGCGATGCGCATCTGATCCGCTATCAGCAGCAGTGTGCGCCTCACCTGCTGCATCACGTCCAGTGATGCCAGCCCTGCCATGCGCAGCTGAATGTGGGAGGAGGGGGGTGGGAGACATGTGGGGGATGGGAGAGTTACAAGGGATAAGCAGCAGTGTGTGCCTCACCTTGTGCGTCACGTCTAAGGCTGCCAGCCCTGCCATGCGCAGCTGAGGGGTGGCACAGGGGGGATGGAAGGGTTGGGGGTTATGAAAGCGTTGAGGAGGAAGGGTTGGGGGGAAGGCCTCCCATTTTTCCCACACCTGCTGCATCTTTTGAGAATTCTCAAAAGGACCAGGGCTGCCAGCCCTGGCATGCACAGCAGGTGGAGGGGGAGGAGGGGTTGGATGGGATGGTTATGTTGAGAGAGGGATGCATGCGTTGAGGATCAGAGGGGTGGGGGTGAGGTCTTTCACGTGCCCCACAGTCAGATCATACTGCTTGTGACATGCATGCCTTGCCATGCCATGCCACGCCATGGCACGCCAAGCCATCGTGCCAGGCGCACCTGCTGGGTGTTGAGCAGCATGCCATCGGTGTCGTAGTGCGTGCGAGCACCAATCACGTCCGCCGCTTCCACCAGCTGCAATGCCGCCCCTGACAGACGTGGCAGGTGCTTCCACGTGGCAGCTTGCAACTGGTCCTCGGGAATCTCCAGCGGCACAAAGCCCTGCAGATCCTGTGGCTTCCCCCCCGTGGCCCACTTGCCCTGTCACGCGTGGCATGGGTGGCAGGAAAGGGAGGAGAGGGAGGAGGTGGGAGGGGAGGGGACGGGAGGAGAGGGGACGGGAGGAGAGGGGACAGGAGGAGAGGGGACGGGAAGAGAGGGGAGGAGAGGGGAGGAGGGGGGAAGCGAGGTGAGGGGAGGAGAGGAGAGGAGAGGGGAGGAGGAGGGAAGAGAGGAGAGGGGAGGATGAGAGAATTATGTTGCAAGGTGAAGCTCTTTCACTTGCATGATTGTGCAGTGCGCTGTAATGAGCTCGGTGGGATGGGAAGGCAATGAGTCCGATGGGTGAACGAAGGGAAGGCACCCGTGCTGCCCCGTGAGGGATCGCCCCTGACACCATCCACAATGCTTCTCGCCCTCTCCCCTTCTCCCCCTCTCTGTTTCACCCCCTCTCCCTCTCCCCGCCCCCCTCTCCTCCCCCACCCATTTTCTCACCCGCCACTCCTCATCCAGGTCATCGTCAATGCGGAAGGCAGAGAAGGGCTGGTCGAGGCGGGACACCGTGTAGGCGAGCAGGTGGCGCTGGAAGAAGGTCCTCTCGCGGTATGTCGTCTGCTCGTTGGGCTGGACGGGAGAGGACAGCAGCTCATCGTACAGACGCATCTGGTGGGACCAGGGGGGCATGGGGCAGAAGGTGAGTGCATGGTATGGCATGGCGGGAGATGGTGTAGGCAAGCAGGTGGCGCTGGAAGAAGGTCCTGTGGCGGTATGATGTCTGCTCGCTCGCCGGGCTGAGCGGGCGAGGATAGCAGCTCATCATACAGGCGCATCTGGTGGGGTGAGTGTCAGGGAGGGAGGGGAGTAGAGCAAGTGGTAGAAGGTGAGCGCATGGCACGGCATGGTGTCATGGCTGGATGTGAGGGAGAGGGAGCACATGTATCTCACAGCAGCTGCATGTTCGCCCAGCACGTGCAGGCTTGACGCCTTGGCGTGCATGATCTCGAGCTCGCCCGGCCAGCGGGGTGTGCACATGCATGCAGGTGAGAGCATGGCATGGGCATGGTGTTGTTGGTGCATGTGAGGGAGAGGGAGAGGGAGAGGGAGAGGGAGAGGGAGCACATGTATCTCACAGCAGCAGCATGTTCGCCCAGCACGTGCAGGCTTGACGCCTTGGCGTGCATGATCTCGAGCTCGCCCGGCCAGCGGGGTGTGCACATGCATGCAGGTGAGAGCATGGCATGGGCATGGTGTTGTTGGTGCATGTGAGGGAGAGGGAGAGGGAGAGGGAGAGGGAGAGGGAGCACATGTATCTCACAGCAGCAGCATGTTCGCCCAGCACGTGCAGGCTTGACGCCTTGGCGTGCATGATCTCGAGCTCGCCCGGCCAGCGGGGTGTGCACATGCATGCAGGTGAGAGCATGGCATGGGCATGGTGTTGTTGGTGCATGTGAGGGAGAGGGAGAGGGAGAGGGAGAGGGAGAGGGAGCACATGTATCTCACAGCAGCAGCATGTTCGCCCAGCACGTGCAGGCTTGACGCCTTGGCGTGCATGATCTCGAGCTCGCCCGGCCAGCGGGGTGTGCACATGCATGCAGGTGAGAGCATGGCATGGGCATGGTGTTGTTGGTGCATGTGAGGGAGAGGGAGAGGGAGAGGGAGAGGGAGAGGGAGCACATGTATCTCACAGCAGCAGCATGTTCGCCCAGCACGTGCAGGCTTGACGCCTTGGCGTGCATGATCTCGAGCTCGCCCGGCCAGCGGGGTGTGCACATGCATGCAGGTGAGAGCATGGCATGGGCATGGTGTTGTTGGTGCATGTGAGGGAGAGGGAGAGGGAGAGGGAGAGGGAGAGGGAGCACATGTATCTCACAGCAGCAGCATGTTCGCCCAGCACGTGCAGGCTTGACGCCTTGGCGTGCATGATCTCGAGCTCGCCCGGCCAGCGGGGTGTGCACATGCATGCAGGTGAGAGCATGGCATGGGCATGGTGTTGTTGGTGCATGTGAGGGAGAGGGAGAGGGAGAGGGAGCACATGTATCTCACAGCAGCAGCATGTTCGCCCAGCACGTGCAGGCTTGACGCCTTGGCGTGCATGATCTCGAGCTCGCCCGGCCAGCGGGGTGTGCACATGCATGCAGGTGAGAGCATGGCATGGGCATGGTGTTGTTGGTGCATGTGAGGGAGAGGGAGAGGGAGAGGGAGAGGGAGAGGGAGCACATGTATCTCACAGCAGTTGCATGTTCGCCCAGCACGTGCAGGCTTGACGCCTTGGCGTGCATGATCTCGAGCTCGCCCGGCCAGCGGGGTGTGCACATGCATGCAGGTGAGAGCATGGCATGGGCATGGTGTTGTTGGTGCATGTGAGGGAGAGGGAGAGGGAGAGGGAGAGGGAGAGGGAGAGGGAGCACATGTATCTCACAGCAGCAGCATGTTCGCCCAGCACGTGCAGGCTTGACGCCTTGGCGTGCATGATCTCGAGCTCGCCCGGCCAGCGGGGTGTGCACATGCATGCAGGTGAGAGCATGGCATGGGCATGGTGTTGTTGGTGCATGTGAGGGAGAGGGAGAGGGAGAGGGAGAGGGAGAGGGAGCACATGTATCTCACAGCAGCAGCATGTTCGCCCAGCACGTGCAGGCTTGACGCCTTGGCGTGCATGATCTCGAGCTCGCCCGGCCAGCGGGGTGTGCACATGCATGCAGGTGAGAGCATGGCATGGGCATGGTGTTGTTGGTGCATGTGAGGGAGAGGGAGAGGGAGAGGGAGAGGGAGAGGGAGCACATGTATCTCACAGCAGCAGCATGTTCGCCCAGCACGTGCAGGCTTGACGCCTTGGCGTGCATGATCTCGAGCTCGCCCGGCCAGCGGGGTGTGCACATGCATGCAGGTGAGAGCATGGCATGGGCATGGTGTTGTTGGTGCATGTGAGGGAGAGGGAGAGGGAGAGGGAGAGGGAGAGGGAGCACATGTATCTCACAGCAGCAGCATGTTCGCCCAGCACGTGCAGGCTTGACGCCTTGGCGTGCATGATCTCGAGCTCGCCCGGCCAGCGGGGTGTGCACATGCATGCAGGTGAGAGCATGGCATGGGCATGGTGTTGTTGGTGCATGTGAGGGAGAGGGAGAGGGAGAGGGAGAGGGAGAGGGAGCACATGTATCTCACAGCAGCAGCATGTTCGCCCAGCACGTGCAGGCTTGACGCCTTGGCGTGCATGATCTCGAGCTCGCCCGGCCAGCGGGGTGTGCACATGCATGCAGGTGAGAGCATGGCATGGGCATGGTGTTGTTGGTGCATGTGAGGGAGAGGGAGAGGGAGAGGGAGAGGGAGAGGGAGCACATGTATCTCACAGCAGCAGCATGTTCGCCCAGCACGTGCAGGCTTGACGCCTTGGCGTGCATGATCTCGAGCTCGCCCGGCCAGCGGGGTGTGCACATGCATGCAGGTGAGAGCATGGCATGGGCATGGTGTTGTTGGTGCATGTGAGGGAGAGGGAGAGGGAGAGGGAGAGGGAGAGGGAGCACATGTATCTCACAGCAGCAGCATGTTCGCCCAGCACGTGCAGGCTTGACGCCTTGGCGTGCATGATCTCGAGCTCGCCCGGCCAGCGGGGTGTGCACATGCATGCAGGTGAGAGCATGGCATGGGCATGGTGTTGTTGGTGCATGTGAGGGAGAGGGAGAGGGAGAGGGAGCACATGTATCTCACAGCAGCAGCATGTTCGCCCAGCACGTGCAGGCTTGACGCCTTGGCGTGCATGATCTCGAGCTCGCCCGGCCAGCGGGGTGTGCACATGCATGCAGGTGAGAGCATGGCATGGGCATGGTGTTGTTGGTGCATGTGAGGGAGAGGGAGAGGGAGAGGGAGAGGGAGAGGGAGCACATGTATCTCACAGCAGTTGCATGTTCGCCCAGCACGTGCAGGCTTGACGCCTTGGCGTGCATGATCTCGAGCTCGCCCGGCCAGCGGGGTGTGCACATGCATGCAGGTGAGAGCATGGCATGGGCATGGTGTTGTTGGTGCATGTGAGGGAGAGGGAGAGGGAGAGGGAGAGGGAGAGGGAGAGGGAGCACATGTATCTCACAGCAGCAGCATGTTCGCCCAGCACGTGCAGGCTTGACGCCTTGGCGTGCATGATCTCGAGCTCGCCCGGCCAGCGGGGTGTGCACATGCATGCAGGTGAGAGCATGGCATGGGCATGGTGTTGTTGGTGCATGTGAGGGAGAGGGAGAGGGAGAGGGAGAGGGAGAGGGAGCACATGTATCTCACAGCAGCAGCATGTTCGCCCAGCACGTGCAGGCTTGACGCCTTGGCGTGCATGATCTCGAGCTCGCCCGGCCAGCGGGGTGTGCACATGCATGCAGGTGAGAGCATGGCATGGGCATGGTGTTGTTGGTGCATGTGAGGGAGAGGGAGAGGGAGAGGGAGAGGGAGAGGGAGCACATGTATCTCACAGCAGCAGCATGTTCGCCCAGCACGTGCAGGCTTGACGCCTTGGCGTGCATGATCTCGAGCTCGCCCGGCCAGCGGGGTGTGCACATGCATGCAGGTGAGAGCATGGCATGGGCATGGTGTTGTTGGTGCATGTGAGGGAGAGGGAGAGGGAGAGGGAGAGGGAGAGGGAGAGGGAGCACATGTATCTCACAGCAGCAGCATGTTCGCCCAGCACGTGCAGGCTTGACGCCTTGGCGTGCATGATCTCGAGCTCGCCCGGCCAGCGGGGTGTGCACATGCATGCAGGTGAGAGCATGGCATGGGCATGGTGTTGTTGGTGCATGTGAGGGAGAGGGAGAGGGAGAGGGAGAGGGAGAGGGAGCACATGTATCTCACAGCAGCAGCATGTTCGCCCAGCACGTGCAGGCTTGACGCCTTGGCGTGCATGATCTCGAGCTCGCCCGGCCAGCGGGGTGTGCACATGCATGCAGGTGAGAGCATGGCATGGGCATGGTGTTGTTGGTGCATGTGAGGGAGAGGGAGAGGGAGAGGGAGAGGGAGAGGGAGCACATGTATCTCACAGCAGCAGCATGTTCGCCCAGCACGTGCAGGCTTGACGCCTTGGCGTGCATGATCTCGAGCTCGCCCGGCCAGCGGGGTGTGCACATGCATGCAGGTGAGAGCATGGCATGGGCATGGTGTTGTTGGTGCATGTGAGGGAGAGGGAGAGGGAGAGGGAGAGGGAGAGGGAGCACATGTATCTCACAGCAGCAGCATGTTCGCCCAGCACGTGCAGGCTTGACGCCTTGGCGTGCATGATCTCGAGCTCGCCCGGCCAGCGGGGTGTGCACATGCATGCAGGTGAGAGCATGGCATGGGCATGGTGTTGTTGGTGCATGTGAGGGAGAGGGAGAGGGAGAGGGAGAGGGAGAGGGAGCACATGTATCTCACAGCAGCAGCATGTTCGCCCAGCACGTGCAGGCTTGACGCCTTGGCGTGCATGATCTCGAGCTCGCCCGGCCAGCGGGGTGTGCACATGCATGCAGGTGAGAGCATGGCATGGGCATGGTGTTGTTGGTGCATGTGAGGGAGAGGGAGAGGGAGAGGGAGAGGGAGAGGGAGCACATGTATCTCACAGCAGCAGCATGTTCGCCCAGCACGTGCAGGCTTGACGCCTTGGCGTGCATGATCTCGAGCTCGCCCGGCCAGCGGGGTGTGCACATGCATGCAGGTGAGAGCATGGCATGGGCATGGTGTTGTTGGTGCATGTGAGGGAGAGGGAGAGGGAGAGGGAGAGGGAGAGGGAGAGGGAGCACATGTATCTCACAGCAGCAGCATGTTCGCCCAGCACGTGCAGGCTTGACGCCTTGGCGTGCATGATCTCGAGCTCGCCCGGCCAGCGGGGTGTGCACATGCATGCAGGTGAGAGCATGGCATGGGCATGGTGTTGTTGGTGCATGTGAGGGAGAGGGAGAGGGAGAGGGAGAGGGAGAGGGAGAGGGAGCACATGTATCTCACAGCAGCAGCATGTTCGCCCAGCACGTGCAGGCTTGACGCCTTGGCGTGCATGATCTCGAGCTCGCCCGGCCAGCGGGGTGTGCACA